CCCCCACTCCCTTACTCTCCTGAATGCTTCCACGTTTCAAAACTAGCAACTCCATTCTCCCAATTACTCAGGTCAAAGCCTTCAGCTCCCTCTTTTTCTCACTCTCATATCCAGAACAGTAGAAACTTTCTTCAGGTATACTTCAAAACATAACACAGTGCATACCTACCAACACCACTCTGGCTCAAGACCATCATCCCTTGTCTGAATGAAAAAAATGACTCTCTCAACTGGCCCCCTTCCTTCTACCCTTGCTGTCCTACGGTCTAGTATATTTTTCATAAAACAGTCAGATCATTTAAAAGACGTTAAATTATGTCACCCACTTATTCAAATCTTTCCAAAGGCTTTCCATGTCATTCAGAGTAAAAGCTCAAGTCCTTCTGATGGCCCACAGTGATGAGCAACACTTACCCTCCCTACCGACCCTGACCTCCTACCACTGTTCTCCTCCGTCTCGGGACCGCACTAACCATGACCTCTCTGCTTTTCTTGAGGACCCTACGCATGCTTATTCTCAAGGCTTTTGCACTGTACTTCCCTCTTCTTAAAATTCTGTTCCCTCAAGGACTTACTGTACTTGTCTTATTCCCTTACTTCCTTCAGATCTGTACTAAAACGTCACCTTATCAGAAAGGCTTCCCCTAACTACTCCATATACAGGCCCCCACCACAACCACTGTCCTCTATTGCTCTGGCCCTGCTTCCTTTTTTGTCACTAGTACCTCCCTTTGTATCCTGACATGTACTTATTTATTTGCCTCTGTCCACTAGAATAATGGAAAGTCATAAGGGTGGTGTTCTCTATCTTTGTTCTTTGATGACTATTGAGTCCCCAACACCCAGAAAAGTGGCCAGTATATAGTTTGTTTTTAGTAACTAAGGACAAAGAATGATGGCAACATTCAAGAGCAAAATTTAACCAAGTAAATTTGAAGATATAGTTGGCTTTATTAAATAATTCATGAATCAGGGAACAACCTGATTCACCTTACCAGTGAGGAAAGTGACCCAAAGGGTTGTATAAGATGAAAGATTCTTACATGCAGGAAGAAGGAAGGATATGACGTTAAAAGAGTGGGTTATTTCAGGCAAGGACACCTTTTGTTAGAAGTCAGGGGTGCTGATCAGGCAGACTGCCTCATTAGTGTTGATCAGGAAATTCCAGACTGATTTCAAAGTTCACTCCTGGAACTTTGGGTTCTGGAAACTGCATTTGGGTTAGTTACTAAGTTTTGGTTTGGTGATATGGCTTACCAAAGGTGACTCCACGTTGGCCAGTTGTTTAACAGGGCTTCGTATCGGAACAGTGACAAAGGAGATGTGCGGCAGCCAGCCTCCTGGAGGGCTCCCAATGGTCCCTGCCTCTGGTATTCACATTCCTGTATAAGCCCCTCCCACAGCAAGTAGAGTTGCTTGACCAAAGGCAGAAATGACAGTGTGTGACTTCCAAACCTAGGTCATAAAGAATGCTGTGGCTTCCACCTCACCCACTCTCCTGGATTGCTCCTTGTGAGGAAAGTCAGCCTGGTGTCCTGAGGATGCTAAGCAGCCTGCAGACAGGCACGTGCAGAAGGAACCATGCTCCTGCTAACAAGAAGCACCACTTGAGAGTGAACCGCCTGGAGAGTGAACTCTCTCAGGGGCAGATCTCAAACCCATCAAGCTTTCAGCCAGAACCCCTTGACTATGCTGCTCCTGAATTCCTGACCCACAGAAACTGTGTGATATTTATTTGTTTATTATTGCTCCTAGCTGCTAAATTCTGAGGTAGCCTATTATGCTACAGTTGCTATGACCTCTGTTTGTTCTCCTTGGGACTTTTGTATTTGCTTTCTCTTCTGCCTAAAACTCCATTCTTTCAGATGGTTACATGTCTTAATCTCTTCCTTCAGGTCTCAGATAAAATGCCCTACTATGCAGTCAGTCATACAGCAATGCAACAATAGATAACAAATACAGGATATGTTTGAGATATCCAGGAGGTGGATGTGACCAGATTTAGCATCTTACTGGATCTAAAAGATAAGAGAGAGCAGAAGGAGCCAAATGATTCTCAAATTATTGGTTTGTGTAACTAGTTCCTACCATTCCTGGATTTAGGGAAACAGGTTTCCTGAAGAAATTATAAGCAGAGTTTGAAGCGTCCAACAAATTTTTAAGTGGAGGTGTTTAACATGCAGGCAGATATACCATTTGTTAACGTGGAAGACAGATCTGGACTCCACATAAGAACCTTTGAATCAGGGTCAGTTATACAATTTGCAGGGCCCAGTGCAAAATGAAAATGGAGGGCCCCTTGTTCAAAGACCGCATGATGTCCACCAGCTGCCAGGCCTTCTCCCACCATTTTGTAGGACTGACAGACCAAGCTCTGGTTGAGGGTGGAGAAGGTGAGCCACATATCTCCTCTTCCCATAGACTTTTTGCTCCAGACTACGCTGGAGGGGCAAAGTACAAGAGATTGCAACTTCCCTGCCTGAGTGCACTGTAATAGGGGATGGGCAAGAGACCCATCCCCAGGGTCACCCACTGGGTGCACTGTGGCACTGCCAGCCTAGGGCAGGACAGCTGCCACCATGCCCTACTCTAAGATACCATGGACACATACACATGATCCTGACCTTCCCTGTGCCCTTGTCTAGGTTTCCCCCAGGTCCTGGTCCTGAGTTGCACAGAGGGGAGGATCGGCAGAGCTGAGATTCCAGGGAATGGGGGAGTTGTCACCAAGAACCTACCCCCAGGAGGCAGGACTACATGTGAACTCAGACAAGCTCCACTGTCTCTTTGAACTTCACTTACAAAAGTTCAAAGGTAACATTATTAAGAATTTGAAGCCAGCAACCACAGAGCATTAAGATTTCAAACACCCTGTGTGAATTGACTGTTTGAATGCCTATGAATCTGACCCTGTTCGGAACAGTCCATGTAGTTATAAGGGAGATGAAAGAAAGAAGCCCAAAGACCGAAGTCAGAGAAGCACCCAGATTTAAGGGATGGGCAGAGAAAGAACATCCTGGAGCCAGATGAAAGTTGTAACTAATCAGAAGACAAATGAAGGGGAAACTACTTGGTCTGTGATCTCTGACTTGCCCACATGTTGTTAAGCACATTTTATTTCACAAACTATTCATGATATTGATGATAATTTTTCGGGGTCGTAGGTGTGGTCCTTACAAAAGCCTATTGGCTTGATTATTTTTGAAGCATATATTATTACTCATTTAGAGAAAAAATGCATAAAAGAAGCTGCAAGAAATAAAGTGGGTTAAATGAAATAATGGAGTTTACCAATAATAGACTCACAGCTACTGAAGTAAATAATTCATTTCCTTTCCAGCCAGAGTCACCTTTTCACAAGGCCAGCAGTGTCTTTCTGCAACATTTATCAAGCAAGAAAAAGGTAAGCTGTAAGATCTGTGAAGAATTTTAGATGACTTTGAAACATTTTGCAAAATCAACCACAAGAGTTTTCTAACTACTAATTAACTTTGAGCAAAGTCTTAGGCCATAAAAATCAGACCACTTGGTAAGAGAACTGTGGCAGGGAGTTGATGAGACTTTGAGAGTTTAAAATTGGTGGGGAGAAAAGGTGGGGGTTTTTTGTAGTTGTTTTTTAATGGATTCAGAAATGTCTGTGGAGGTGGTTTACCACATGACTAAGAACACAGATTCTGGAACAAGCTGTTTGAGTTTGAATCCCGGCCCTGCCACTTACTTCCTGTGTGATTCTGTATGTTACTCAACTGCCCCATGCATGAGTAAAAGAGTGGTAATGACTCCTAGGGCTGTTATGAGAATTAAATAACTAAACATAAAACATTTAAAACTCTGCCTGGCACATAAAAAGCACTGTGTACTTACTCATTAAACAAAAATTGGGAAAGTGGATCATGTAACCAAAACAGCTCTGCAATTTCTATTACAGTAGGTCCCACAAGCACTGGGGAGAGAGTTCACTAAAAGAAAACATTTTTTTTTCTCTCCTCATTTTTTTCTTCTGTATTCTTCCATCTCCACTCCCCACTCCACCCCCACCTATCTTCAGAGTTCTGTGCTTTCTCTTTAAAAGCAATTTGCTTTATTCAGAAAGGTTCCTTAAGAAGAAAGTATAGTGTTTCCTGGATATTTTCTTAAAAGTATGGTTTCTCATGTCTTAAAATGCATATTCATGGCTGCTTCCCACTTCTAATAAATCTCAATGTGTTATTTCTTTCACATAAAAACAACAAAAACATGTGTATGGGAAAATAAAATGCACAGTACCTTTAGTGTCATTTTAATTATCGTGATAATTCTGGTACTTTATTGGAAAACACAAAAAGTTTCCATGAGAAGTGTTAGACAATTAGTATAATAAGAATCTCAAATATACATCTGTCCCTTTTGAGAAGTAAAAACTGACCCATCTAAATTCCCCAGCCTTTTGGAGAAAAAGCTCTGCAAATGCAGGATCCTAGGAACCTGGAGTTCAAACTATCCCGTGTCTGTTAAATACAGAAATCGCTTTGAATGTGTTTTATTGTTCCTTTTGGTCTTCAGGAATGCATTCTTCTACTCTGTGCCTCAATTTTATTTCAGTAGTTTCTTTGTTTCGGTTTTATAGTTTTTCACGGTGCTTAGCGTTTCCAGGGCGGAGGTCTTCCGTTCCTTTTGCCGTTCCCTCGCGTAGGACTAGGCTTTACAAGGTCCATTCTGGCTGCACCCTCGGCGACCCTGCTCGACCACTCCCTGTGTGCGCTCAGCGGGCGGAGGGTAGGGGGCGCTTCTCTCTCTTTAACCTCACTTTATGCGGAAATCCTCCAGCCTTTTGTGAACGTGTTTCTTTAGATCTCGCTTTTTTTTTTTTTAACTACGTACGAGTTTTGCCTCTTTTTTTTTTCTTTTTTTCTGTAATCTCCCTCCCCCCTTTCCCTACAGAACACTCGTTCGCCCCTTAGAGTCAGATACATTGGTATTCTGAGATTCTCCATTGGCTCCACGGCGCCTTTAAGCAGGGTTCTAAGGGCCTCGTCTTCAGGGTTCTCGGCGTGAGCCAGAGCAGCGTTTTCTACTCTCCAGTCACAGACTTCAAAGAAAGCAAGCCCCACATTTGTGTCTACTCTGGCGGTAGAACAGAAAGCTGCCTCGGCTGGGGGCAGCATTCGGGGAGCCCCGTGCAGTCCCACCCTCCCCTGCTCACGCCTCGCCCTCCCGCGAGGTCACCCGCGTGCAGAAGGCGAGCGCCCGGGCCTCCCCGCGCCCTCCCGACTTCCTTCCGAGCCGCCCGCAGGCCGGGGAAGTTCGCCGCTCCGCGGCGGCCGCGCCGCGCACTGGGCATGCTCAGTGGCGAGTGGTAGCCTCCGGCGCCGGGTTCGGGTCGGCAGCCGCGGAGCCTGGGCTGCCCGGAGCGCGGCGGAGCCCAGCGGCCCCTAAGCCGAGAGCGAGACCCGCCCCGCGGCGCCCACCCCGCGGGCAGGCCCGCGAGAGCCGCGCCGTTCCGGACCCCGGGAGCGCCAACTTCGCGCCAAGTTCGAAGCCTCCTCCGGGAGAGCCATGCAAATGATGACCAGGGACATTTTGTTGGACATGGAGCTAGAGGAGGACGACGACGAGGATGGAGACATCGGTGAGCAAGGGGTCCCCCGGGTTGGGCCGGCGCGGATCCCTGCGTCCCCACCCAAAGCCCCAGCCCACGCGGGAGGAAGTTGGGGACTGCGCGTGGGCGCCGCACTGGCCGCGGGGCAGGTTTGCGGGGACCCTGCGCCGCTCGGCGGAGCTCGGGAGGGCTCCCCGGTCCGGGAGGAGGCAGCCCGCGCCACCTCCGGGGGCTGCACTGCGGCCGCTGCCGGCCACCGACCCGCACCGCCTCCCGGGCGGGGCTCGCCCCCGGGAAGGCCCAGGAGGCGCGGGGCGCGCGGGGGCCCCGAGGACGGTTTCTGGACCGGGAGGGACGCAGCCCCTGAACACTGTCTGGGGACGGCTGGGTCGCCACCGCGCGGGAAATCTTGACTCAGACAACAACTCCTGGGTCATTTTCTCCGCCTCGAACCTGCGCCGGGCATCCCGGGGAGCCGGCGTGGGCGGCGCGCCCGCGGGCCGGGTTGGGGGAGCCGGCTGGGGTCGGAGAGCAGGGGTGCGACCCACCCCAGTCCTCTCCGGGTGAAAGCGGATCTGGGAGGCAGGGCTGGGACCGGGTGGGGCGGCCCGGAAAACTGATTTGTGGCCGCGGGCCGGCAGCCTTCTTTCTGCCGCAGAGCCCGCGAGGTGGTGAGCAGAGGGGGAAGCCCTTAGGTAGGGTGGACCGCAGGCATTTCCTACGAGTCCAGAGGCCTCTGGAGCCTGGGGGCGGGTCAAGCCCGTTCCTAATTAGAGTTTAAAAGGCACAAAAATTGTAAAAGCAACGGAGGAAGAGATGTTTCACAGTAGAAAAGCAAACCAGAGGGGTGGGAGGAGGCCAGGAAGGGGAAAACAATTACAGGAGCAGTGAGAAAATTAGATCCCTAAAGAGAACACTGGAAGGAACAGATGACACCGGGCCCTCCGCAAGACTGAAAATTAAATTACCACGCTGGTCTGTCTCACAGACTCCGCCTTGGTTTCCTGGGTGACAGAGCACTTTAAAATGTAACAGTTCCTGTTCATGGTCTAAAGCCCTATTCTTCTCTAATAACATTAGAAAGTAACTTAATGTTAGGAGTTAGGTGTGGATTTTCTTTTCACATTCTAGGCACTGCTCATTTATTTGGTTATTTTTTTTTTTTACCATCTCTGCTGAGATTGCGTTGACCTGGAACACTGAGTAAGTTTCAAGTGTGCCATGTGCTGATTTGATACTCTTACATATCGCAAGGTGATTACTTCTGTAGCCTTAGCTATGTAGCCTTTTTTGTGCGTATGTGTGTGTGGTGAGAACATTTAAGATCTACTTACTTAGCATCTTTAAAGTGTATATAACACAGTTATTATAATCACTGTCCTGTGCATTAGATCCCCAAAACTTACTCATAACTAGAACTTTGACCAACACTTCCCAATCCCCTCATTCTTTTTATATGAGTTCATCTCTTTTAGATTTCACATGTGAGATCATGCGGGATTTGTATTTCTATGTCTGATTTATTTCACTTGGCATAATGGCCTCAAGTTTCATCCATGGTGTCACAAATGGCAAGATTTCCTTCTTTGTCGTGGTTAAATACTATTACACCAAATATGTGTGCATATACCTACATATATCTCATATCATATATCATCATATCATATCTCTATCCATTCATCTGTAGCCAGACAATTAAATTGTTTTTATATCTTGGCTGTTGTAGTCACGTCTCATTTGAATTCCTAGTACTCAATAACTTCCTGGTTGACCAGGGACAAATGAATAGAGGGGATTTTATTCCATGATTCAGCTTTATTTGTCACTCAGTTAAGAACAATTTACTAGGTATCCATTTCTGTGGAGGGAGCAAATAGTGTTTTTCTTTTGTATAGGAAGGAAAACTTAAGCTCACAGGTTGATCTGCCAGCTTCTCACACAGCTAGTTAAGGTTCAAACCCAGGTTTTCTGATTTGCAATCCTGCACGGATTAATAATGCACCTTCCACCCGGTGACTCCAGGTGTCAGGTAATGCAAAATGCTATTGGCAGGTTTTAGTAGTAAATCACAATTACATAAAAATATAAATCATAGGAGCAAACTTTTAAAAGTTATGATAAAATTAGCAGTCTCTTTCATTTGAAAATAGTCTCGTTGGTTATGGTGAGTTGGCACTATTTATATCGAGTATGGTGAATAAATAATGGTAAAAACCCAAATGGAAATTAAACAGTCTGAGCTTCGTTCATCTCCCTGTGCCTTCGATAGATCTCAGTTTAGGAAGAAAACTAGCTTGGTCTGGTCTGTGCTGACGTGATGAGGCACCATAAAATTTTTCTTAAGTGTGTGGCAATAGGCTCTTTTTGTTTATAATTACAGGTGTAATCTATGCTAGTTCTGTGAATTCAAACAGTGTAGATATATTTAAGAAAAAATGAAAAATCTCCTCCTTCATCCTACTCTCCACTGGCTGCTGATAGGAATATTTTAGTGTGTCTAGGGGTCAATTCAACATATTTTTTAATCAGGCAACAAATATCAATATGTTTCAGCAATTTTTGGTTGTTACATAAATTTAATGTGGGTTGCAGTGATTTTATATCAAGAGAAAATGTTGACCATGCCAGTGGAAAGTTTGTCATTGTAACATTTTTACTGGAAGTAGGCTGATGCTATACAGCCTTTTATGAAGTAATTATAATTTCCAGTTATGGAGAGGAAACGCTGGTGAAATGAAGATTATGATTTTAACCCCTGCCTCTAGCTTTGTAATGCAGGGCTGTGTTCAAGCTGTTGACTAGCGTATTTCTCCTCGTACTTCGTGGTCACTACGAATAGTTGTGTAATTTAAAACCCCCTCAGGTACTGAAGATTTCTGTGCCATCTCTCTATAAATATTAACTTTATAAATATTCAGAGCAGGAGAGTTATTTTGATATAAAATTTGGGATAAAACATCTATTACCAGCTAATTTGCAAGAGATAGAAAAGAAAACCTTTAAAAACTAGATGTGGTTCCTGGTTGCATCATAGAGATGCAAGAGTAACAGTTTGCATTACATTTTAAAGAGTTTTACATACACATGGAAAACTATATGGAAGCATACCCTCTACTAGACTGGGATTTGGGGCTTTATTATTATTTTTTAACTAGTGAGTTTCTGCCTACTTGTGGAGAACTGGTTAGTACATAAGCAAAAAGATTGCCTCCTTGTTTGGCATGAACCAATCTAGAGAATCAAAGATGGTAAATCTCACCATGGGTATCTTTTTTGTATTTGCTTAACTCAATGGCCACCAGAAATTATGCCCAAACGTTTGTGAATGAGGCAACCTGTTGGCCTGAGAGCATTTTTGCCAAAAGGCCACTTATTTTCTCTGTGAGCTTCAACAACCAACCGCAGATGTACTTGCAGGAACTATTTGGCCTGCAGCCCTGTTGCAGTGGCGCTGGTGGAGACCTTGTGCCGAGGCAGGTGCTATCCTGTGTGCCTGGTGTTCGAAAGAGTGTCCTTAGCTGCCTCCAGGAGCACACTCTGCCACCCAAAATTAATCAGTGCATTGCATTCAGCATCTCTTCCTGTTGATATACAAAGTGATGGAAACATCTTTTGTAGCCAGAATGTAGCTATTATATTTAGTATGTTGTTTTACTTTGGTTTCTTTCATTTCCACGTTCAGGCTTAACTGAGGGAGGAAAAGTGTTCTTACAAAAGAAGGGGGTTACAGAAACAAGTCAGTTCCGGCAAAAAAACTTTCGTTTTAGGTGGTGGGTTGTTTTGCATTCCCAGTCTGTTTAGGAAAGAATTTACTGTCTATTCCCCACAGCTTATGGTCATATCACTGGGGTGGGGGTGGACAGAGGCCTATTATCTCTGAGAGATAATGAATGGTTCAGCTGTACCTCTCAGTTGTTTTAATTGGCTCTCTTTTCACTGTCTTCCTGCACAGTCTCTACCACCTCACTACCTGCTTTCTGTTTGATCACCTGCAAATCTTCTCCCAGCCCCAGCTTTGCTTTATCAACATTAATTGAGTAAATGTGCTGTGCCTGGTACAGGATTAGGTGCTGGGCTGAGTGTTGGGTGACTAAGAATGAATAAGATGCAGCTCTTGGCCATGGAGAGGTAGGTTCCAGGGAACCAGATATTTGCAGTAAGTGCCATTATTCAGGTATGTACACAGCCGTGGGCGGAGAATGGCAGGCAGCTTCTCAGAAGGGATTGAGTGGGCCAGGCGTTGAAGGGTCAGGAGCATCTGGAATTCATCTGCGGGTGAAGGGAGAGGTCACCCGGCTGGGAAGGCAGGAAGGGCTTGCGCTATGAATACTGTTAGCATGATTTACGGATTTTGGATTTTACTGCTTTTGTGATTGGGAGCTCCTGAAAGATTTCAAGGAAAAGAGTGATAGGATTGAATTTGCTTTTGGAAAGATCTCCCTGACAGCATGTTGGAAAATAGGTTGAAGAGAGGAGATGGTAGAGGTGAGCCTTTCCAGTAGTCAGGCTCAGAAATGCCCTCAGTGATCGTGGGATTAGAGATGCGTGAGTCTGAGACTTTCCGAAAGAGACAGTGTCTGTGAGGTCTGAAGAGACTGACTGCTTCCAGGAAGCAGAGAGGAATCTGGATGAGTTTCGAACTTGAGTTGGGTGATCATTAGGTGGAAAGTGGTGGCACAAGGAAACATAACAGGTTTGCAAGAGGGGAGAGTTTTCTATTCTTTCAACAAGTCTTACACTTGTCCTTTGCTTTGGCTCAGACCATTCCCCTTCTTTGTGATTGCGAACTCACTTCCTCTTTTCCCTTGCCTGCGCCAAGCCCAGAGAGCTGTTCCTGATCTTCCGAGCCCCTGAAGTGCCCACCCATGAATTCTCACGCCCCTTCTTCTCCTCTTCTACCAATCAGCATTCACCTTGTATTTTGCCTTTGTCGTTCATTATCTTTGCATTAATTATCCCCACAACTAGAGTGTAAGTTTCTTGGGGACTGAGACTAAGACATTTGGATCTTCTAGAAAACATGCAAAATA